ATCCACCAGATGCTCTGCTGGAGAAGGAGGGACAATCTCCTCCTGTACCAGTCAGATCTGATTTGATGGTACACACACACAGAAACAATAAAAATTAAAAAAAAAAAACTCCCCCGAAAAAACCTTTTGAGCCAATCTCTTTTCCCCTCCCTTTTATTTACTCATTGTTGGACATTTTCTTGCCCCATCCTTCCCCTCCCCTGTCCCACCCTGCAATGCACCCTTCCTTCCAGATTGTTGTCATGCATGTAATGAATAATCATAGACCTTTCAAACAGTTCTTCCTCTCATCTGTTCTAATGCAGTGCTCACTATCTGTCTGCTCTTCACCCATTCTCTCTCCAACTCCCCCGTATCTGTCCTATTTTAGAACAGCAGTGGTTTGCAATATTTATCCTTTTGTGACAGATATTTCACTTAGTATAATGTCTTCACGGCTTCCCTATGTTGTATAATGTTTTACTGTTTGATTGTTTTTCGATGTTGTGTAGTAGTCCATTTTTGAGGAGGAATCAGTTTTTCTATCCATTTGTTTACTGATGGGCACTTGGATTGCTTCCATCTCTTTGCTATTGTGACTAATGCAGCAATAAACACGGGTGTGGCTACATCTGTACGATGATTTGTGGCTCTGGTTTCTTTAGGGCTTATTCCTAGCAGTGGAATTGCTGAGGCAAATGGTATTTCTATTTCCAACTTTCTGACAAAACGCCAGACCATCTTCCATAGTGGTTGTATCATTTTCCATTCCCACCAGCAGTAAATAGGGTTCCAATCTCTTCACAACCTCACCAGCGTTTGTTGTTAGCTGTTGTTGCTGGGATGAGGCGCTATTTCATTAGTTGTTTTGATTTGCATCTCTCTGATATTACTAAACATTTTAATAGAAGATTCGCTAGAAGAAACTTGATCCAAGGGAAGGAAAAATGCCAAGTGGAGTTTCAAATTCTTCATTGACTCTAGATTTTTCTGGAGCCATGGAAATGAAATAAACCACTGAAACTATTGCCCTTGGATAGTCCTTAAATCAAACCAAGAAGTCCCCTGAAGTCTTCTCAAAACCAAATAACTGCCTCACCAAACTAGCGAGGAATACATGCCTTGAGCATGATGTTCTTTCCTCGATTGAATCCATATGGAATCAAAGTGACAACTGGAAAGATTAGATGGGAACATAAGAGACAATGAGTTTGTTTTAACAATGGAGAAACAACTCAAACAAGGAGGGTAAGAATGTTTGCATGTTTGAAGAGAGTAATCAGTGTCCCTCAATTATATGTGTAGAACCTGTTGGTGTATTGTGTATTTTGTTATGAACATTCACAAAAAACAAATACACATTTTTAAAAATTTATTCTCTGTGTGTGTGTGTGTCTGTACCGTCGAATCAGATCTGACTGGCATAGGAGAAAATTGCCCCTTCTTCTCCAGCAGAGCATCTGGTCCATTCAAACTGCTCACCTTCAGAGTTGCAGCATAGCTTCTTGTCACTAGGTCATCAGAGCTCCCCTAAAGTAAATACAATTTAAAGAAGAAAAAAACTTTCTTGTAAATTTTGCCACTTAATGTGGATATTTCTGGGAGGGGAAAAATCTATAGTTTCTCAGAAGTTTAAGAGAAAAGTGAGGAAAAAGATTGAAACCGTTTTTACTTGTGATAGCACAACACAGTACGAATTTGTGATCTAAACAATAAGGTTGTTTATAAACTGTAGCCAGGAGTCCCTTGTTGAATTGTTCTGCAATGACAGCAGATTCTTCAAGAAAAACAAATAGAAGTCCCAGTTCCCTGGCACAGGCCCCAAGAAAACACTTGTCTTGAAAAGAAAGGGGTCTCACAATCACGTCTCACATTCCTGGCTGATAAGAGCAATTAGCTTTTTAAAGGCACAGCCTCTCCTTTGACCTGTGGTTCTGGTTCTTTGTACTAATGGAACTGATTTTTTGGGGGTGCTCATAGAGCCAGTCGAGCATTTGTTCTTTGCTCTCCAACTTGAAACTTTATTTAATTTCCAAGTCTGCCCTTGGCCCTTGACCTCACTTGCAAGTGTTAAATTTAGTTCTCTGTGATGATTGCTGTGGACAAGATGAACTCCAGACAAAATTGGAAGAAAATAACATTTGTCGCTGGCTCCTTTTCATCTGTACCATTAGCATGATTCCTTTTCTTCCCCATCTCTCAGCCAAGCCACTCATGTTGACTGGGTAGTGCATCTTAGAGACCCAGCTTTCTCTCTATGGCCCAGAAAAAGCCTAGTTCTATACTTACCTGCAGGCAGAGCTATGCATTTTTTTTTGGTTATTTTAAAAGCATATCATTATTGCATATATTGGACATATGTGCCTCTGGGTTGTTATCGCTAGGTGCCATCACGTTGACACAACTCATCATGACCTCATGGACAACATAGCTGAAATCTGCCCTGTTTTTGGTATGTTCAAGCCCATTTTTAGTCACCGTATCACTCTATCTGGTTGAGGATGTGCCTCTCTCTCTCAGAACCTTCACCTTTCCTGGCATGATACCTTTCTCCAAGGACTGACCCCTACTGAGAACGTGCCCAAAGTATGTGAGGTGGAGGCTTGTTGTTGTTAAGTGCCATCAAGTCATGGGTAACTAATAGCGACCCTATGAACGAAAGACCTGAACACTTGTATAACTTTCATTCTTTCTTTCAAATTCATAGAGTTTCTGGAGGCAAGCTATTTTAGAAGTGGATGCCACTCTTGCTTCCAAGCCTGTTTTAACCGGGGAGCTCCACCAAACACTGTCCACCATGGGTAACCATTATCTCATTTGACACATCAGAGTGACAATGTTCAACATCACAGCAACCACGAGTTACCTCTGTACAGCAAATGGACAGACCAGTGCTATACCACTTAGAAGGATGTTTAACCAAAATGAATTAAAACCAAGACTGAGGGCCACAGATTAAAATCACCCACCTTTGGCTCGGTAGCATCGCTTTCTGTCCACTACGTCAACCGATCTCTATGTTTTTGTTGTTGTTAAGTGCTGTTGAGTCGTTGATGACTCATAGCGACCCTATGAATGAAACACCTGAACACTTGGATAACTTGGTCATTTCTGGAGGCAAGCATATGTATACAAAAGCAAATGTGATTGAAGTCCTTGCTTTTAAAGTCTGGTCATTGAGGAAGTACTGGTGCTTCAGTGTTCTCCATAGAGTTACAAGTTCAATTACAGTCCAAATAGCTCCTGTTCAGCTACCACCATTCATGCCTCATTGGCGGCTGGCTCTGATTCTGATCAGGTTTTACTGGAACTTTCAGATTAAGCTGGATTAGGATGAAGGGCCTGGCAATCTACTTCTGAAAACAAGCCAATGAAAAAGATGTAAGGATCACAACGATCAGATGGGAATGGCCCAGGACTGGTCAGGGTTTTATTACATGGGGTGGACACGACTTGAGGACTAATGGAAGTTAATAACATTGTCTCCGCATAAAGACTGATGTGTAGAAATGTATATAGAGATGCATCAGCAAAACAAACAATACAGATAGGGAAATTGAATGTTTACATATTAAGAGAAACATGAGTTAACATTTAATGTCTTTGGAAACGAGGCGCAAAGGGTGAAACTGGGAACAAGAGAAGAGCAAAGTTCAGACGATTCTAGCCAAATGCATTCCAGGAAAAAAGTGGGAGATGGCAACTTTTAGATCTGGAAGTCCATGTTACGTTCTTTTGAATGAGAAACACAAGAATGCTCTCCGAGACACCAGAGTGTGTCACAGACCAGCATCTGAGGATGACAATAAAAAAAAAGAGATAAAATTGGATTGGCCCTGGGACATCTGGGCTATTTGCTCACAGTATCATAGTTGTTAAAAGATTAGAGGATTGGATCATTACCTAAACATAAAATGTAGGCTGTTCCTTTATATGTAAAAGGTTATAAGAATGGATATCTATTTTGAAATAACCGGAGATGAACCTCTGTGGAATTATTTGTTGATCTTCTCTGGCTAAGCAGTTTGTCCTTTGCAGTACAGGTTTTCATAAAGAAAGATAGTAATATGATAGGCTTCTTCAAAAGCTTG